AGGCTGTAAAAGTGGCTCAGGACCCTGCCTCACTAAAGTTAACCCTGTTGTAGCCGTGCCCCTCCTCCTTAAGCAGAGTGTATAAAAGACTGCAACGCTCTTTGTCTGGTGCTCAGAATTTGGGAAGAGCACATTCCCCTCTGGGCCAAAATTGCCGGCCGGCACATAAAACCTGTATTGCCAAAATCTCTGTGTGTGTCTCTCGGTCTATTTTCGGTCAGCCCTGCCGTAACATTTTGGTTCCCTGACCGGGAAACCCGATTGCGCTGGCCGTTGGGGCCACCGGCTCGGGACGGACGTCGGCCGACTGACCCTGATGACTGGCAGGGAATCCAGGCGCCTAAACCGCCGGTCGGGGACAACTTCTTCTCCGTTGGGAAGGGCTCCACCAACCGACGCTCTCCGGACCGGCCTGGACACCGGCGAGGTGTAGGCAACCAGGAAAACCAGGAGCGGCCGTCTGAACCGCAATAAGGTCCCGGGACCCAGTCCAGAGGCAGCCAGGCCTGTCTCAGGACGGAAGAGGAGCTTGATCACCTCCTAAGAAAGGTTAAGGTTCCCCAGAGCGGGGAGGGAATGTAGTAACCTCTGTGTGTGTGAGCGTGAGTGCTACAGCTCCACGGCCAAAAGCTACAGGGTCTGATTGGGTTCCTACCTGCGGTTCTGTGGCAGCGTCATACGGCATAACGGTGATTCGCCCTCCGAAAGGAGAGTGACCAGGCCTGGGGTTTATACGGGTGCACCTTCACCAGGACGTGCCTAAATCCCCGCGAGGGGAGCAGCCAGGAGGACATCTGACAGTAAAACCCCTCCCTGTGCGACACCGATCAGTAGGACACAGTGGGAGGGAAGGAATCCAAGCCAACTGTCCTTAGGTGTATGATCAAAAATTTTAGGGAGGGATTTTTAGGTGACTGTGGAATTAAGATGCCACCAAATCGCCTCCAGTCGCTCTGAGAAGACGAGTGGCCTTCCTTTGGAGTCGGGTGGCCTGAGTCGGGCACCCTCGACACTTCTATTATCCAGGGAGTCTGGAAACAAGTTACAGGCACCCCCGGACACCCAGATCAGTTCTCTTACATTGATTCCTGGCTAGGAATTGCCCAAACTTTGCCCCCTTGGGTCCGGTTCTGTGTAGAGAAGGGTCAGAGTAAGGTCCTCTTTGCTCAGAAGCCAAGAAAGTCTCCTGACTCCAACTCCAAGCCCATTCACCAAGGGCTGCTGGAAGATGAACTCCCCCTGCCGCCTCCATACAATCCCAGTGACCCGGTGACCTGGAAAAGCTAGAAGGTTTCGCAGGGATGAACATCATTCAACTGATGGAGGTGGCCTAAAAGGTGAACAGGAACCGAGATCGTGTAGCCTAGAGGGAGAGTGAGAAAAAGATGAAACATAAAATCACACTCCTGGCAGCGGCACTCGGGGCTCCTGTGTCTCCCCCAGGGCTCAGTGCAAAACCTGAGAGGGGGCCCCGCAGGAAGGGGGCACTAAGACGGGACCAGTGCGCATACTGCAAAGAGACAGGGCATTGGAAAAACGAATGCCCACACCGAAGGACTGGCCCCCCCCTCAAGACGAGGCCCTCCTCGGGGATTCCAGATGGAACCGGAGGCCCAGGACCTAATCGGCCTCGCAGGCGTGAACTCCGAATAGGACCAACCAGGGTCCCTCAACCTTGGCCCCGGGAGCCCATGGTCACCATGGATGTGGGGGACCGACCTATAACTTTCATGGTGGACACTGGGGCTGAACGTTCAGTGGTGACCACCCAAGTCGCCCCCCCCTTACAGGGCGACAAGCAGCTATAGTCGGGGCTGCCAGAGACCAGGTAGTCAGACCTTTCTGCCAGTCCTGCTCCTGCCAGCTTGGAGGCCACCAAGTGACACATGAATTCCTCTACCTACCAGACTGTCCGATCGCCCTGACGAGGCGGGACCTCTTACATAAATTAGGAGCTGGAATCACTTTCCGCCCCGAGGGGACGGCTGACCTCTCATTGTCAGCCCTGAAGCCCACGATGATGGCAGTCTCAGTTCCAAGAGAAATGAATGGCAGATTTATTCC